CTACCTCTAAATGCAGTTCTTCCATTACAAGCAATGTACTGAAGAAAGCAGCATAATTCTCCTTTGTCAAACCTTCTGCAAGAATATCAGGCATATGCTTATTCTCTATTAGGTCCCTGATATTTTTCGGGATCGGATATTCAGCAATCTTGCATCTGTATCCTCGTTTTGTTGGCTTAGCTGGGCGCGAGGAAACCACATACTCATCAACGGCAAATTGGTTTCTTCTTCTTATAGCTCTCCTATAAGGCATAGTAGAAGCCAGAGACTGGGAGACGTTATTTTCAGCCAATAGAAAGACTACTCGTTCCATCCTATTATCATCTACATCGAAGTGTACTACAGTTGTGTGCAAACCCATGTCATTCGGTTTACAAGAGAGCCAAATGGTAAGAGTCTGTCGGGATTGAAGCACTCAATCCTCGAGAGAGTATCCCTCTAAAAACCCTTGCCTATTTTCCGACTTTGAATCGGCTGAAGGTGGTTCCATTAGAGACAAAGTAAATGAATCTGCCGGATTTGAGCAGAATATCCTCACTCCCCATAGTTCTACTGGCTCATCAGTGGGGTTCTCTAACGCAATCGGCCACTTCGAAGTTTGTCCAACAAGAATGGATTGAGGCTTCCCTTGACTGAAAGGAAAGGGAACTGAGATAATAACCGGTCCCCCCTTCATTTATGTCATAACTTTGCACGGACTTATCATCGGCAAAATCAATAAATCCGATCTTCTCTTTATCACTTATGACCGAGCATTCATCATCCCAACCCGAACTCATCACTAATGGATTTTGATGCTAGCAAAGATGATGACAAGCATCAAACACAACACATTGTAAACCTCATTACCATAACAAAAATTTATATACACACAAGATTACAACATCCATATTCTACTTAATCACAATCCTGGTCTTAGCTTGGTTTTAAAAGGCGCAAGGCGTACTTAGGCGTAAAAGGACCCTGGAGCGCAAGGCGCAGGCGCACGCCTTTCTTAGGCGAGGCACACTTTTATACCAAAAAAACCCTATAAATTAGTTATGGAACATGTTTTACACTTAAAACAATATTATAAACATATCTATGCTAAAAAAGTTTATAAATTAATTGTATGAGTATATTTATACTCATTACCCACCAATTAACTCCTAGGGTGTGTTTGGTTCACGGAATGTAAGATTACCAGTGGGAATGTAACATTATCAGGGAATAGGATTACTGAGAATGTTGTATTTTGTGTTTGGTTGGTTTAGCATCAAAGGAATAAAATATTATTGAAATGTATATTTGACCAAATTGTCCTTATTATATATTTGTTTTTTTAACAAGTTGAAAAATATTTATATATTTTCTTTAAAAAAAATTAAATTCATAAAATTTATATATTTTTTTACAAAATTGAAAATATAAAAAGGTTTAATGAAAGGGTAAAATTTTATTTTAACCCTGAACTTCATATAAGATTTAAATTATAGATTTTTTTGTAAATCTAAAATAGTTTAAGGATAAATTTGTAATTTAACCTTCGTATAATTTTTATTATTCAATGACAGAAGAATGATATTTTTGAAAAAAAATTTAAAGACATTTTAGTCCAAAATGTCAGTAATCTTACAATACCTAAGGAAATGAAGGTAATGACATTCTCGGTAATATACTCCAAAAAATCTACTATTGGTAATAAAACATTACCGGGAATGAGATTCCCGGCCAACCAAACATGAAAATGTAGATTTCATTCTCATGGGAATTCTACATTCTTTGATTCAAACATCCGCTAAAATACTTGTCTACAATGTATTGATTTATACTTAAAGGTTTTAATATTTAAAACTATCATTTTATTTATTTCTATAAACACATTTTAATCCGCTTTCACCAAAATCTACACAGTTATTGATTTATACTAATTTTTTTTAATATTTAAAACTATTATTTCATTTTTTTTAAATGATACAAATTTATTTTATTATCAATTTAAAATTTTTAATAATTATAAAAAAATAATATTTTATATTTAATAAAATTTATTAAGTAATTAATATTTAACTTAATATTTTATTATTTTAAAAAATAAAATTAATTATGTATTATTAAATAACTAAATTTCTAAAAAAACATATACTTTAGGTTAAAAGCATACAAAGAGTGGAAGAAGTGATAATGGTTTGTTACAAATAAATAAATAAACACTAGAGTTGTACTATAAATTTGGGCTATAGGGTTGGGCTTATTAATTGGTTAAATATTAGGGTTAATCTTGAGATCGTAGGATCGAGTCCCATAGAGGTCATTTCATAATTTGGAGGTCTCTTACGGAAGCTGCTCTCAACCTAGTATTGGAGGCAACCTACTATCTTACCTCCCCTTACCCCATTACATATGGGAACAAGAGACATCCATTAGAGTTATGAAATGAGAAAATGTGTTAGTCTTCTTCATCCGTCTTCTTCCTTTCTTACTACTATAATTTTTTTTTATCTTCTTCTTTCTTTTTTAATATGTTGTACTTCCTATTAATATCTTTAGAAAAAATTCGAATAGCGTAAAAGCACGACGCCTAAAACCTAGATGCGCACGCCTCTTGTATCTCGCCTCACCTCATCCCAGGTAGACGCCATCTTCGGGCACGCCTCGCGCCTAGGCGCACCCGGGGCACGCCTTTTAAAACCAAGGGTCTTAGTACCCTAAGCAACGAAGATCATTATCTATCACGACGCAAGACTATCGACATTACTTCGGCTACAAACATTAATCTGCAGTCCCTTGAAAGGAAACATAATTCGGGCAATGAAGCACGATATCACAGTGTAGGCCTATGAACAAAAACTACTAAAGCAAATGAGAAGATGTATATATATATAATCATATATCTAAACCTGATTTAAGCAGAATTTGCAGCAATTCCTACATTGTTAACCTAATTCAAGTAAGGTATTTAGCCATTACAATTCTTTCATGCATCATAAAAAACGATCAAACAAGTATAATGTTACAGATGCTATTCCAAGTTTCATCAATGCTACAAGATGTTCTAAAAGGTGAAAATACAAGTCGTGCCAAGCAGGAATAATATTTTTTATACAAATTAAAAAAATGAAAAATTCTACACACACAAGCATGGTCGTGGTTGGGGCGGCGCGAACTACGCGAGGGCCCAAAAAAATATATATATAGTGGTGTTTTTTCAATAAACGTCACTATTATTGCGGCTTTATTGATAAAATGTTATAAATATATCGCGATGTTTGTTAAAAAAATGTCATTATTATTGCGGTTTTATTAATAAAACGCTATAGATATATCACGATATATCTAAAAAATAGTCACTATTATTGCCCGAAATCGAATATATAAAAAAAAAATAAGGTCTTTGTAAGAATTTGTACAGGGACCGAAAACCCTGCCACTGCCCTGCACACAAGATTCCATCGTTGACAAAACAAAATGGACATAATCATAAATATAACAAAATTAAACATGGAAGAATTCATATCTAAAATAAAGCAAAAGGGAATGAAAAGTAGTACAGTACTCACCTTTGATTGAAAAAAAAACAGCGAAGTCGAAACAAAAGGGGATGAAATTTGGGAACTTTATGTCTAAGAAAAAACCCAGTTTACTAAACAAGCAATCTATGCTAAAGAACACTTAAAAGTGGGAGTTTTGAGTGAGAAATTGCTGCTCTAGAGATTTCTTCAGAAGAAGAGGGTGTAATTGAGAAGTGATGAGAAAATGTGAAAAAATGACTCTTTTTTAATATCAAAATGACTTGCTTTTCCAATTGCTACTCTTTGAAACGAAGTTATTGTAAAAAGAAATTGAAAAAAAGAAAGTTTTTATCACATCAAAACTGTGACCTCTTGATGAGACGAGACACTACCAGGTAACCGGGCCCATATATTGTTAAGGTCCAATCAGATTAAGCAACGTCAGATTTAGAAAGAGATAGTTGAACCATGGTTGGGCTCTTGGCCTTAACCAACAAAGGATGAAGAACCAATACTTCTAACTTTTGTTCAAATATAATCAGTTCTTATAAACGCTTATATTTGATGAGAGAAAAAAATCGAGAGATATGGAGTAGACCAAAAGTGTCGACGGAAACAAATTTGATTTCGTGGTTTCGGGGTTCGACTCCCTCTTTCTTTCTATTGGTCATAGTATAAATATATTGATTATAAGGCGGTGGCCGGTGTGAGTCCTATGATAGCGGTGTCTATTTGTAAATTTTACTTTAACAAAGATGATTTTAATTGTTGTCTAGTTGGAGCAGATTTAACTTCGATAAATCACGTGAGACTGTTAGAGATTTAATAGTGAGATTGTAACCATTTGGAAAGTATATGACATTGGATGAGTCGTGGACGAAGATATTATTTTTGGCGAATATCTTTGGATGTATAACACTTATCTAATTGGTTAAAGTAATGTCATAAAATGATTTGATCTAGGACATATGACGGGAAATATAACGATTCGATTTTGTTCAATAACAAAGGCATTTCAACGATCATTTTCCTTTTTTTAAAAGAACTAGGTTGATAGGTGAAATCATCTCCTCTCCATTTCTTTTTCTTTTTTTTTTACTCTTTATCTTTTGTCTTATGTTTTAATCTCTCTAACAAGAAACAACAAGAAACATTGGTATCGTTATATCATTAACGTGATTTTCCGCTCAAACTAAAATGGATAAACCGTCCATCACCGACGAGGCAAATTTGTTTAAGTAAACATAGAGCGAGACTGTTTAGGCACATTGCTCGGTACATTTCTTCTCTTAAACTGTCGGTGGCTGTCGCAAGCAACTCCTTTTGGCCGAATCTTAGAGATGATTTATACGTGCAGAGCAAGCCATTAGCCTTCTTAGAGATGATTTATACGTGCAGAGCACGCCATTGGGAACAGTAAAGTAAATGAGACTTTTCCTCTGCAAATATGGATTAAAACAAGGCAGGAATCAAGGCTACTTTCCTCGTATATTAAACATTAATCAATTGTTTAGCAGTAAAGCTCAAAATATTAAAACAAACCATTTCAATACATACAGGGATCTTGTAAATAATATTTTACTAATTTACAGATCCTTCCCACAACCCTTCAAACCACCCTTAATATAAAAATATATGGTGGTGGAACACCTCACTCACAAACCCTCTTTTTTTTCCTGTCAAAAACATGAAAAGCAATAGAATCAAATCAAAAGATAAAAAAAAATAGCATCCCACACGTTTCAGTTTTAACTGTTAATTGTTAGACAAAATCAGACATCCTTCTCCTATGATGGCCAAGTTTAACTCTTAGGTTGGGATCAGATGATGCGACCACCTTGCTTCTTGGTGACGAAGTCAGCTTCGAGGGTGCCAATTCGTTGCATTTCGGACTCTCTATGGCTTGACCATTCGTGTCTTTGAACCGGGAACTCTTTGTTGAGTGTCGTAAAAGTGATTGAATACGATTGTCCGAAAAGCTAAGGGATTGAAAACCCGGGACCTGCATTGAAGTTCTGGTTCCTGGTCTCAAGGTTCTTGCCCTTGTGATGATATCTCTTTCCGCTGCAATTTGCCTTTCTCGACTAGCCACAGTAGACGTCATGAACCGAGGGAGGGACCGATGAATACTTTGTTGAATTGGTTTCTTAGTTACTCTAGGTGTTTCAACAACTTGAATTTTTGCATCTTGACCGTTTTCGGGATTCTTTTCCACACTCTTGTCTGGTATCCCATAAGCAGTTGCATAAAGTTTTTGGTTTTCGCTTAATAAGAAACCGGCCTTACTTATTTGATTTGCGAGTTTTCGACATCCTTCTTCGGCTTCCCTCATGTTCTCTTCGAGCTCCGATATCCTTTTTTCTCTTAGCTTCTTCAAGTCCTAAACGATCATAGTTTTATCAGTAACAATCAAAAGAATGTACTATCAAAAAGCTTTCAGCAAATTCTGTTATGGTACCTCTGGCAGTCTTCTATTGGAATCAACTGCTTTGGCCCTCTTTGCAAAGCTCAAAGAACATATGGTTTCCTCGAGATCGTCATGACACGGACTTATGTGAACGAGCATCAAAACTTTCGAACCGACACCTAAACGAATTGGATATACGAGTCACAAAGTTTTTCAACATAACATCAAACTGTATAAACCCTTCTAATAATATCCCAATGCAAAGTTTCTAAAGCATTGAAAATCCCTACAATGGAAGGCAAAGCATGTGATAATGTTACCTAGGGAATCTTTGAGGATTTGAGTTAGCTTGCTATTTCTGCAACCAAAAGGAAATAAAATATCATGGGAAATGAAAGAAAATTTCTATATTTTAAGGTACCTAAGTAGTTCTTGCAAACATTCCAAGAACATGTCCGGATTCAAAACCGAGAACTTGCCTGTAAGGCACATGTCCCCTCTTCCTTCTTAGAGCTGCAATAACATCACCTAAAGCAGAAAGTGAAAGATTTATGGCCCTTCCTTCATCAAGGGTATGTCCGGTGGCTCCAGTTTTGAGTAATCGTTCGCTCCCTCCGAGATCAATCATCCATAATTTGCTTACTTTCGGTTTAGCATCCGGAGCATCTCCCCGTCGAGAAATGACGATCCTTATTAAGCTAGATATATAAAGAAGCCAAACTGATAATTGACAAACCAAATCAATCCTTCAAGAAAATTTAACATTGAAATCAACTGGGGAACCCACCAGTGTGACCTGCTGGATGTCTCGTTCACATTGGTCCACGATGTCGACCGAGCTCGCCTTCCCTTTGCGTACCACCATCTTGCTTTGCAAAATCTGGTATTTCAACCTGTGTCAGACCCTCAATTTCTACTGACCCCTTTGGATCTGTTTGAATGTTTAGATTACTGTAGTGGAGTTAGCCAAACCATGGTAAGCTCTCTAATGAATGGCCTCGAAATTTTGATTTGTGATCTATAGTTAGGGTGTTAGGGGAGAAAAAGACTATTACCATTTGGCTATGGTCTCGATTGCTCGTGAAGCGGGCTTTGAAGCTAGTAGATCTCTTAGATTCCCCAAGTAAACCTCCAACATACTCATAGAAAAAGTAAAAGAAGATGACTTGTCAGAAGACACTTGCTGGAAAAGCTCTTTTAAAGCTCGAGGAATGATTCCCGGTTGATCCATCGTGCCATCCTGAACAGACGTCCGAATTCATCAGATTAATTCTCATAAATGCAAGAATAACTCGAGCAAAATTCTCGAATTACAGACCATTGTAAAAGTCTTCCCAGTACCAGTTTGACCATAGGCAAAAACGCATACATTGTGCCCATCAAGTGCAGATCTAAGGATTGGTTCAACCTCAACAAATACATCTTCTACAAGGATTTCAAGAAAATATCAATGGAAATCCTCTTAATATGTTACCGAATTCGAGGGAAAACCGAGTAAAATCCAGCACTAACCTTGATTAGCTTCTTGATGGAAAACTTTATCGAATCCAAACTCTTTTTTACTCCCACATGATCTAACGACAACCCGATCGAGTTCACTCAAAACAGGTTCCGGGGTTATTCTCTTGCCTGTCCAAAGGAAAGGCCTTACTCGACAGAATACTCGTATGGTGCCTGCAAATCGAAAACCAATCCTTTAAATCATGTTCTTAAGAGGACAACGTCGACGACCAGTCGACAACAACACGAAGAAGTTAATTTACCTTTGATGTCTAACATTTTATTCAACATTTCTCTTCTTTTCTCATCTACTGACCTTTGCATTGATCTCAATTCATCAATTTCTCCTACAAGAAGCAAATGTCATCAACCAACACAATTAACTCAATACGAACAAACTATTTCAAAAAGCTCAAATTCCTACCTTGCAATTTCTGTATGCACTGCTTAAGCTGGGATTTTTCATGCTCAGGAACCACATTGACATCACAAAAACTGGTGGAAAGCGACGGAGAATCCGGTAAATCCGATACCGGAGGCAACCCATTAAAGGAATCAGGATTTGATCCCACCGGAGAAGATGATGCTAAAGACTCCTTAACATCATTCAAAGGCAATGTGATTTGCTCTGTTTCAGTAGCAATCAACATTCTTGTTCTTCAAAAAATCAAAGTGAACACAGTAGCAATAAAAGAAGTAAAGAACACTTCTCTTTGCCTTGAGAACACAGCAAGGGCAAAAGAGATTTTCCGGGAAAAACAGAGAGAGAGAGAGAATTGACAGAGGAATGAATGATAATAATTATCTATAAAAAAAGGGAAATACTTAAAAGGATCCACTTTTCTATTTAAGAAACGTCTTAAATTGGCAAAAGTACAATATACGTAACAGAGAAAATAGCTTAGATGTCCAATGCCTCAAAAAGCACAAGAAACAACTCAAACCAGCTAAAGATCTAAATTTAGGAATCGATTTTTTTTTTAAAAAAAAAAAACCCAGAAATTATTTTCTAAAAACAACCCTAGGAAACAGCTTGCTCAACCATTTCAAGGAGCTCACTAGGAACAAAATCTGATGAACCCAAGATCAAAACTTCAAAGAAAAAACCAGGTATTGTACTGTATAAAATAGAACCCAAAAACAGGAAGAAAAATCGGTCTAGTAATTATGAAGGCTTGGACTCCATGCAAGAGATTAGGTTAAAAAAGTCAACAGTGGGATAGCTGGAATTGCTGAAACACAAAAAGGGGACATTTTTTGACAAATCCCAGAATGAAAGATGAAAAAGAAAAATTGGGTTTTTAGTTATCAGTTATTTTCAATGATTGGATGGTGGAAGAAGAATGGAATCCGAATTGTTTTGTTAAAGCTTCTTAATTGGAAAGAAAAAACATGTTAAAAACTTAAAGAAGTGGGAATATATTTAAGTTTGATTGGTCCAGATCTAAAGATGAGCGGCTTGTTTTTAACTTGGGAAAAGTACATAAATGGTCATTAGTCTAAGTTGAAAGTTATAAAATGATCATTATATTTATCGAACGATCACAACGTAGTCATTAAACTTATTGATGGGAAGAAATTTATCTTGTCAGATGTTTGCGGTTCACCCCTTCTGATTTTGGTAGAGAGTAGCAGCTGACGAGAGGGTGGTCATTGACTGTGTTTTTTTGTAAGAGGTAATTGGTCATAATAAAAAAGATGAGAGTTAGATGTAGACAGTGAAAGATTTCAACTCGTTTTCCAATATCAGTTGAAAGTACTTATAGTGACCTTTAGTGTGTGTCATTCGTAACCCATAGGATCATTATGATTATTTATAGGTTAATGGACAAGACATGTATGTTATCAAACCTTGTATAATGTTCTGGTAAGTCACATAGACTTGTTAAAGGTGTTATTGATATACTATAATTGATTAGAAAGCTTATATTATAATGATGTATGCTTGTTGGAGGCTCTGGTAGACAAAATAGTATATATGGGGACCTTGATTAACAAAGTACTGACAGTTTCAACGAGTTTGATTTGAAAGAGATTTGGAGGTCTCTAGAGGTCATCTCTGAAGGTATAATAAAACTTTATCAAATTTTATGAAATCATTCACTAAAACTTTATTGCACTATTACAAAATGATCATTAAATCTTTCAAAGTTGGTCATATTTTATAATATATAGGGACTATCTTATAATAATTTGAGAAATGTAATAATTGTTTTATAACTTTCAAAACTTTATATCTAAAAGATCATTGTAGTAAAATTGAGTTGCTTGTTTTGTCCTTTGCAGGAGGAGCGTGAGGAGCGGAGGGAGTAAAAGTGTAAATACAAAAGTGATGTCTAAAATATTTGGGTAAATTACATATTTAGTATATAAATTATCAATTTTAGTCTATTTTAGTACCTAAGATTTTAATTTTTTTCAAAATCACACATAAATTTTAGTTTGTGTTTCATTTTAGTACCCTATTCAAAATTCAACGTTAAGATTTGAAAAGATTGAAAGTTTAGGTATTAAAGCAGACCAAAACTGATCATTTAGGTACTAACCGCGTTAAGTTTTTAACTGCATGTATTAAAATAAAATAAAAACTAATGTTAGGTATGGTTTTAAAAAATTTAAAAGTTGAAATACTAAAATTGATAGTTTAAGTGTTAAATACATAATTTACCCAAAATATTTTGACTGAACGACTGAAAGTGAAAGAACTTGGATCGGATCGAATCCCACTACACGGTCAGTGTTTATTAAGTAAATAAAATATAAAATTGATGTCATGTAACTATCCATTCATTTTGCATATATAAATATAATAAATTTGTATAAAATGGTCCCTAACAAATATAAAATATCCCTCTTAATTTTATAAATATTTTTATTTTTATAAAACACTCCAGTTTCTTACTAACAAAAAATAAAAGCACAATATAAGATGAAACGTAATGATAATCAGAGATAATAATGGATTGGATCAGATTAATTTTTTTTAATTGTTTTAAATTTAATTCGAATATAATATTTTTTTCACCTGACAAATAATTTGACTCGGATTTAGAGAGATTTAAATCAATTCCAAATTTGACTTGAATTTTAGAACTAAAACTCGCACTCGACCTAGTTTGATCATATACGGTTATACCGATATAAAAAAGATTTTTACTTGTATTTATTAGAATAGAAATTTAATTGAAAAATATAAAGAGAGGCATTATAGGGATAAGTCTACGGTAAACAAGGTGTCATTAGTTAAATTGTTCTTATTAAGTAAACATTAAAAGGATAAATTGTATGTTTAATACCTACACTATCATTTTTATTTTGTTTTAGTACCTAAATTTTATTTTTTTCCAAGACCATTAACAATAATGTGATGTAGAATGATATGTCAATTTTTTTCCACGTCATTTTTCTATTTCTCTATAAGTATTTTTTAATTAATTTTATTCAACCAATTAAATGGTGACACATGTCACCAATAATGAGGATAAAATTAAAAAAAAAAACTATTCTTGCTCTTAGCATGAATTAAACCTAAGTCTCTTACATGAAATGCAATGCACTTAAGTTAGTCATTTATATTAATTTTATCATACTTTGTATTTAACTTATATAATAATATCACCGCAAAATCACTATTTTCTGATTATTATAAAATTCGAATGTGTGAAATTTTAAATTAATGATTGAAAATTTAGCCATTCAACTTTTATGTATTTATAAAATTTATATTAAATTATTCTAAAAGTTTTTTTATAATATTATGAAACTATTTTTAAATATATTTTTTATTTATTAAAATCATATTATTTATTTATTTGAAATAATATTAATTTTAAATTATTTATTTATGTATTTTTAAATAATATTGTACGGAACCAAAGTAATAGTTAAATAGTAAATATATAATTTACCTTAAATTTAAATTATTTAAATATATAATTTATTTAATTTTAATTATTTATTTTTCCTCCGATGGTTCTGTTAATTTAACATTAAATCAAATACTCAGATAGTGAACTTTCACTTCCTTTCAATCGGTGAACATTTTTTTTTAGTTGTTGAGACGTGCGCGTGTTTACATAACGAAATCTTAACGGCTTGACTCGCGAGTTCTCGAATGAAGTTGAACTTAGTTTTAAAGTTTTGGAGTCGAGTAAAGTTCAATAATATCCAAGCTTGACTCGGCTTGTTTACATAACGAAATCTTAACGGCTTGACTAGGTAAGTTACAATAGCATGTCAGATTTAAGGCTTGTTGGCAAGGGCGGATGTATGTGGCTCCCTAGGATAGCCGTCGCACACCTATTATTTTGAGAGAAAAAAATGTTAAATTTTGTTTAATTTGTTAACGGGAATAAAAAAAACAAGAAAATTTACATACTCATTTTTTTTTAGAATAGAGTATAAAAATTTTAGACCCCTATTTTCTAATTTTTAGATCCGCCACTTATTAATGTTGCACAAGATTCAATAGCATGGTTTGCACTTGCCACTTTCCAGTTTCCAATTACTGGGAGACTTGTGCGTATGGGTTGCTTTTTTATTAATGGCATTGCCCATTTTGCTCTTCACATTACAATTTGGACCCAAACAAATAAAATACGTCGGGTGAGTACCCTGATTTCCTTCCTCATTTCACAAGTGTAGATGGAAGATAAATCGTTAGATTGTTTATTAAATTTCACAAAATATTAGGTCTAGAAATAATATCTTAGAGTAACAAGAGGATTAAAAAAAATATAACCAATTTGCAAGTTATGTGGATCTCTCATTATAAGTGTTTTACCCAACAGAGTGAACAATTGATTCATCGATCGTCGGTGATTAATAACAACAGTGGATGATAATAAAGAAAAAGTTAATTTTTTCTAAACTTTTTTTATGAATTTTATGATTCAAGAAATGATTCTCATAGAAGAGAGATGTTTTTATCTATTTTTGAGTCGCGGTGAGTAAAAATATTCTTCAGTATATTAAAAAAACTTTAACTGAATTTAGAGATTAATTAAATTAATATTTTATCTAAAATTTAATAGTTAAATTAACATTTTATTTAAAATCTATTAATATTTTAATATTTTATTTAAAAAATAAAAAATAAAAAATAATTATTTTTATTAACGTGTAAGATAAAAGAATAAAATTATAACTTTCTAAGACTAATCATCAAGCATAAGAAAGTAACACTTGAATTTAGCCTTTAATAAGGCTTAGCAAAAATTGAATTGTCGAGTTGACTAGGATTGAAAGCGTAGATATTTGTTTCAAATCCCTCATGATCACTCGTTAAGTGGTTGCTTTTCAAAATAAAAGAGGTAGTTGCTTTGACGCTATATAAAGGGCTCATTGGAAAACTGCCACGTGTGAATCCGCGATTGCCAAGTGGCGACAAAAATAGCAACCTGCATTTTTTCCAGCTTTGGCCTTCACATTACGTGTCCTAAATCTTAGCTAGTTTGGTTCGCTGGAATCCTTTGAAATTAAGAGAAATTTGAATCTAATTCTATCACTTTTCCATGTTTTGTTTAAGTTTTCAAACGGGGAATTAGAATCTAATTCCATCAAATGAGGAAAAGTAAATTTCATCCATAACATGATGGAAAGTAAATTTAATCCATAACATGATGGAATTGAAATCCTTTGAAGGAGGGAATGTGAAATTTGATTATACTACCCTCATCAATCTTTTGGTATTCGGGTCGGATTTTTATAAAAAAACGGGATCGGGTTGTATTTTTTTTAAAAAAAAATCGGGTTCGGGTCGGTTTTTTAAAGTTTGATATTCGGATCGAGTGCGGGTCGGGTTTTTTTAAGTGTGATACTCGGGTCGGGGGTTTTTAAAAAAAAAATCGGGTTCGGGTCGGGTTATGTCGGGTTTTTTAAGTTTGATATTCGGGTCGGGTCGGTTTTTTTAAATATGCTATTCGGGTAGGGTTTAGGGTTTAGGAATAATTACAATAATATCCCTCAATATATAATTTTTTCAATTAAGTAACTGTTTTTATTGAATAAAAATATTTTTTTATTATTTCGTGTCGGGTCGGGTCGGGTGAAACTTTATTTTGGTCGGGTCGGGTTGGGTCTCAGGTGGAGGTTCCCTTGTTCTCGGGTCGGTAGACCAAAAACCCGACCCATGACTATTCCTAATTGGAATTATTTTAACTTATGATGTTTATTAGTATGATTTTTATAATTTATTAAAATGAATAATTAATCAATAAAATGAAAATTTAATATTTTTTAAATTTTTATAATATATTGCTACATGTAAGTTATAAAACAAACTAAAATAAAGAAAAAAAAAACAAGAAGTGCAATTCTGTCATTTTACTTTACTTGAAACAAATTCATCTGACATGTCTGCGAACCAAACATAATATGAAATTGGATTCCAATTCAATTTCCTGCCAACCAAACAGGTTTCAGATTCATATTCCAATTCCTAACAGATTTCAATTCCTTTACAAATTCTAATTCCCTCAGAAACATTTAAACGAACCAAACGCCACCTAAGGTTCTTCTAATTTCCCAATTTTATAGGACACTCTAATCAAATTATAATATACTACTTCATTAGCACGAACCAACTTACCTAACTGATTAAAAGAATTGTTGTTGTTACTAGAGGTCACGACTTCGAGCACCAACAGCTGTAACAGGGTGATTGAGCAATCAATGTCAAATGTTTCAAATGGTTAAGAGTATTTAAAACATATACTACTTTATAAACACCTTAACTTAATAATATATATATATATATATATTACTACATTTCTTATATTTGAAAAACAGATTTATCGTAGGTATAAGATAGATAGATGTGAGTATGGTTTTATATTAATTTATACTAATTTTTGTATTTATATAATAAATAAAATCTTTATGTTCTTGATTTTTAAAATTTGTGCTAAGATTATTTATTTAAAAAGATTGTAAGGACTTATTATTTTTCAAATATTGAAAGTTATTATACGTGATGTGAGCCCGAAAGATAGATATTTAACATATATTTTTAAATATATTATATCAAGTGTATCATATAAAGAAAATTAGGTAGGTCAAGGGATGGGCATGGGATATGAACTCGACCCAATCAGGTCGGGTTTTTAAAAAATATTTTGGGTTCGGGTTCGGGTTTATAGTAAAAAATACTCGATCCGAAAAAAATAATTTTACCTTATATATTTATGTATAATTACAACAATACCCCTCTATATATTATTTTTTCAATTAAGTCGTTATTTTTATTGAATAAAAATAATATTTTTCGGATTCGAGTCAAGTGAAATCTTGTTTCATGTGGGTCGGGTCGGATCTCGGATAGAGGATTCATTGTTCTCAAGTAGAGTCGGATGGACCAAAAACCCGACCTAAGCCTATGTAGGTCGGTAAAAATTCTCGATAAGTCGTCACTTTCAATCTCCCGATTCCGATTGACATCTCTACTTACCATAATATAAAGATTTGACTTATATTATAATTGAGTACTTGAAATATATCATTTTTCATCTAAATATATGAAATATTTTTTATCAAAAAGTACGTAAAGTTATCATTTTAATCAAAATAGTCACTTAAAGTATTCAACATTTTTAATCTAATATCTCAAAGTTGACACATGATATTAAATTAAAGGGTGAAGTAAACAAACGATCCCCGACTATAGGGGACTGCTTTATTAAATCCCTCGATTATTAAAGTTATAAAATGGTCACTCGTCTATTTATTATGTTCCAAACTCATATTTTTCTGTTAAAAAATTGATGATATTTTGAGCTGAACATTAACTTACTGATTGTGATATAATACAATTTGATAACAAAATATCAAACGATTATCATATCTCATCTATCATGTTAACGTTCAACTTAGATAATTGCCAATTTATTAACGAAAAGTGACGAGTTTGTAACATAATAAGTAGTCAGATGATCATTTTGTAACTTTTAATCGCCAAAAGACTTAATAAAGTAGTACCCTATAGTCAAAGAACAATTTTGTAACTTTTAACAGTCGAAGGACTTAATATAGCAATACCTTATAATCAAAGGACTATTTATATATTTTATCCTAAATTAAAACACTTTAGATACTTAAGTAGAAAAAATAATATGTTTTAAATATCTATTTTAATTAAAAATTAAATAATTATCTTGAACAAAATATAAGAATTAAAAATGTTAAATTAAAATATAGGGTAAAGAACGAAAATGGTCTATCGACTATTGGGTACTACTTTATTATGTACCTCAACTATTAAAAGTTATAAAAATGATCTTTCGACTATGGAATGTTGCTTTGTTGAGTCCCTCAACTATTAAAAGTTACAAAATAGTCACCGACTATTCATTATGTTCCAAACTCGTCAATTCCATAAAAAATGGACGATATTATGAGCTAAACATTAACTAGTTCACTTTGATATGATAAAATTTGATTTCAAAATCTCAAACGACTATCATATCCTAATAACCATGTTAATATATAACTTAAACAAATGCCAATTTTATTAACAAAAAAGGACGAGTCTAAAACATAATGAATAGTCGAATGACTATTTTGTAACTTTTAATAATTGAGACACTCAACAAAATAACACTCCATAATTAAAATATCATTTTATCTTTTAATAATCGATGAACCAATAATCGATTTGGACATGTCGTTTTAACCTTGAGAAAGGAGTAAAATCTAGAATGGCATTCCTGTAAATAAATAACAACACCAACCCCACTATACCACCAAACCACACCCACCGTTTTTTAAGGATTAATTATAAAATAGGTGCGCAAACTATACCACTTTTCACAAATAAGTACCAAAACGTTTTTTTTAATGGTCCAAGTGTCCAACGTTATAAATGTTATCATCTTAAGTGCTCGGACCGTAATTGTCGTTAGTTTTCTCCGTTAAGTGACACATGGTTCATTCTAATAATTTTGATTTTTTTTAAAAAAATATTATTATATTTATAAAAAGTCTTAATTTCTCTTAAATTATAAAATCCCCAAATCCTTAAAAATCCTAAATCTCTAACCCAACCCATCATCATTTTCGACCACGACCACTGTCGTCAACATAGTCTCTACCATCTTCTTTGTCATGCACCACTATAGTTATCGTCCATTAACTATTGGTAATTTCACAGGGTTATTGAATTTGGGGAAGATGAGATTGGGTAGAACTTTGTCGATAATAAAGAGCGACGGTCGGCATGGATTTAAGGGTTAAAATGAGAGTTTTCAAAGTTTTGAGGCTATTTCAAATTTTTTGAAATATAATTTTAATTTTTTAATTTTAAATAAAATTTTTGAAATTACCAGAAAGTGATATTTTTCACTTAATGAAGAAATTAACGACATTTACAGCCCGAAAACCTAAAGTGATAACGTTTCTAATGTTAGACGCTTGGATCATTCAAAAAGTTTAGATACCTATTTATGAAAAACGTTATAGTTTAAGCACTTGTTGTATAATTAAGCCTTTTTAACATTTATATCTTAGTTATGGAATTTTAACCGTTAAGGAAACACATGCAAAATCCAGTATATATTACCTGTAAGAACTTATCAGTAAAATATCCATGGCGTCGTTGGCTGCATCACAGCCACAAAGATGAACACTTTGCCATAACAGTACAAAATGAGAGTTCCCATCTTCTCTCAATCTACCCTTTTCTTTTATAAAGACGTTTAAGTAACTAATAGTTCTTCACCAATCTTTTTTCGCCGCCATTTCAGTATTTTTGTCTCATTATTGCACGGAATTGACAAGAAATCCCAGAAATCAAAGTATCTTTCTGGAGAAACCTTGAACCTTGTTTTGCTTTCTGGGTTTCACACCAAATTTCTTGCTTTATATGTGTGTACGTATTTGTGTTCTTTAGTAGTACTCTAAGTAAATTGTTTCGGCTAGAGTTTTCTAGGCAAAATTATAGGTGTGAACTGGTGGTTATTTGTGGTTCTTTTCAGTTTATTGTGCTTTAAAAAGTGTTCAAAGTTCTTTTTTTCTCGCCCAACAATTGCTAGTTGGGGAAAAAAGGGGTCTAAATTGAATGCAATTTTGGTGCTTGAAAATGGGTTTTAATAAGTTTCAGTACTGTTGCTAGTTGTGTTTCAATTTCTGAGTTCTGAAAAGGCTTGAGAGAGTACTCATAATCATGGAATCTGCTGTTACTTTCGGGGTTTCGCCTTGTTTCGGTATAAATTCGAAGCCAAAGGCGAAGCATCGTTTTCGAGTGAGAGCCGAGAGGGTAGTCGGTGATAATTTATCAGTGCATTCATCTGATGGGGTGTCAGTGAATGGAGGAAGTGTTTCTGCAATGGAAGAGAAGGAGAAAAAAAGGTCATTTCTTGATGGTGGGAATGGGAGTTTAAATTTAAAGCCTAGGACTGAGAAAAAATTGGTGACACAAAGGGTGGTTTCTAAAGAATTGGAAGTGTTGTGGGATGATGGTTATGGAACAAATACTGTGAAAGATTATCTTTATGCTGCGGTGGATATGATCAAGCCCGATGGCGGACCGCCGCGGTGGTTCTGCCCCCTCGAGTGCGGTCGGCCTATAAAAGATTCTCCCGTGCTTCTGTTTTTACCTGGTGACTTGTTTTTGGCTGTTCTTTTCTTTGCACTCTTTGTGTTTGATGTTTTAAATTTGTATAATGACAGCTTCATCATGTTTTTATTTGTTACTGATGCAATTGCAGGGCTTGATGGTGTTGGGATGGGCCTCATCTTGCACCATAAAGCTCTTGGAAAGTAAGTGTTGTTATCCTTCCGTATATACTTGTGCCTATTCACCTGATTATTTCTTTTCAATGGTAGCTTAGACTCGGATTTAAGTGTCGGATACGCATCCGACACATATTTTGTATTTGGATGGTCCTTTGAGGATCATACATAACTACAACATATTGATACTTCAAGAAAAATGAAGAATCAAGTAACATAGGCAAATCAGTTGTATGGCATTCAGCTGAAAAAACATTTCAAAATTTCAATGGGGGTTAAGTTGTGAAAGATCCTCCACTTACCTCAAACAATATTATCATGATATTGCTTTTAGTCTTTTCCTGCTTATTAGCTCACATATATCTATATATATATATAACGATTTCAATTGAAGATTTTTTGCTGAGTGCAGGGTTTTTAAAGTTCAGTGCCTTCATATTCCAGTCCAAGATCGAACACCTTTTGAAGGTTTTATCTTTCATTACCTTTGGATTCATTTTTCGGGACTTTTTCAGATGCTCTATCAAAAGCTGTTGATAAATGCCTCTATAATTTGCATCACTGTACTGCATTTTGAAGGACTGGTGAAACTTGTTGAAGAAACAATTAGACATGAGCATGCTTCGCGTCCGAATAGTCCGATATATTTGGTGGGAGATTCCTTTGGAGGATGTTTAGCGCTTGTTGTTGCTGCTCGGAATCCGACCATAGACTTAGTGGTGATATTAGCTAACCCTGGTGTGTCTTTCTCTTCATCGGACATTCTTAAATCTTTACTTCATCGATTCCAAGTGGCTGATAGATTTTTTTCTTCTTTTTTTCCATTTTATTTTAGCTACATCATTTGGCAGGTCACAGTTGCAACCATTGTTCCCTATATTGGAATCTGTCCCTGATGAACTCCATGTTACCATCCCCTATCTTCTGAGCCTTGTAATGGGTATTTTTACTATTGCATGCTTTATATAGTCAGATTGATTCCATTCTGATATCGTTGCTACCCTTTTTAATGCATAAAGGTGATCCGGTGAAAATGGCTTCTGTCGGTATTGAAAGTAGACTTTCACCGATGCAGAAAATGAAACAGTTGTCCAACAACCTCACTGCAATGCTCCCTCTCCTTTCTGTAAGAACCATTCTCAGCTAGTTTGCTTCAATTTGTGTTTTTGGTCATGCTGCATTCTGTTTTGTTACTGGCCTTTGCTGCCTGTTCGAGCCCGAGTAACAGGTTTAGTCCAAGTTCCCTATTTTCTGTTAATCTATAATCTTCTTTTCCTTCATTTTCAGGGTATGGCCAACATTATGCCAAAGGAGACTCTCGCGTGGAAGTTGAAGTTGCTTAAATCGGCTTCTGCTTATGCTAATTCGCGACTCCATGCTGTTAAAGCCGAAGTACTAGTGCTCGCAAGGTCTTCTATTCTCTTCCTAGTGCTGTCTTCATCTTCATATTTTCAATGGTTCTAGTGAATTTTTAATGCTTTCTTCATTTCAGTGACAAGGACAATATGCTCCCTAGTCAAGACGAGGCTCAACGTCTTAAAAGCTCATTATCGAATTGCATTGTCCGTCGCTTCAAGGACAATGGACATACCCTTTTACTAGTAAGCATATGTGTTTGCATCTATGCTGTTGGATGTTATATAACTGAAGCATATCTGTAGCTCTCGAGTCGACCAGAAGACACTTAGGCCTATTTCGATTGGAAAATAGTTTTATCTATTTTGGAGATACGTGTGATGTGAACTTGTAGCTCTGCAGAACCCTGAATAACAACATATTTTTTACTGTGATGGTGCAGGAAGAGAGCTTGAATTTACTGACTGTCATTAAAGGTACTTGCAAGTACCGGCATTCCAGGAAGCATGATTTTATTTCGGATTTCTTGCCTCCCAGCATGTGGGAATACAGATATGGATTTGATGTAGTATCCGGGTAATTTCCACAAAGCAATGTTTGTATGCGGAAGAATCATGTTTAAGTTTGCATAATTTCACCAACTCTGGCTCGTATTTACCTCCACTCGAAATTGCAGATACCTACGATTCGCTTCTGGTGCGGCCATGTTCTCTACCATGGAAGATGGAAAGATCGTGCAAGGACTTGCAGGGGTTCCAAATGAAGGTCCTGTGTTGTTAGTCGGTTACCATATGTTAATGGGACTCGAACTTTCTTGCCTTGTCGATGCCTTCTTACGAGAGAAGAAGATTATGGTCCGCGGAATAGCACATCCAGAGTTGTTTTGGGGCAAATTGCAAACTTCGTCCGATGAGTTTGCTTTCGCCGATTGGGTTAAAGTCATGGGTGCATTGCCTGTATCAGCGAACTATCTGTTCAAGGCTTTGTCTACGAAATCACATGTTCTTCTTTATCCCGGTGGCGCCCGCGAGGCACTCCATTATAAGGTCAGACAGATTCATAGTTCACAGTGGTCCGATCTAGCCGCATTCATGTTTACATTTCATGTTCTTATGACATATTGCTTTTTTCATGCCAAATTCTCAGAAAATAGTCTCTTTATCATTGCAGGGTGAACAATACAAATTATTCTGGCCAGATCAACCTGAATTTGTTAGAATGGCGGCACGATTCGGGGCCACAATCGTACCTTTTGGGACTGTGGGAGAAGATGATATAGCAGAAGTAAGTTGTTCATACAAACTGTTTATACTTTGGTCTTCGAACCGATCAAAAAGTGCTAATATCGTTGTTCTTGCTTATGATCTTCCATTGTAGCTGGTTCTTGATTACAATGACTGGATGAAAATCCCCGTGATTAATGAGAGAATAAAAGAATCCATTCGAGACGGTATAAGAATAAGGTCAGTACTCAATCTCTCACTGCAATGTACTTATCTTCGAAGCAAATCTCGTATTTTTCGATTCGGTTTCACATATGAATAACAATATTTAAACTAGAGGTAGCTTAGCAGAGGCTGCCATTGGATTAGCTACACTTGGAACAACAAATAAGCTTTTGCTTACTTATATAGGGATGAAACAAAGGGAGAGGTTGCCAACCAACAGCTTTTTATTCCGGGGATGTTACCAAAGGTTCCGGGTCGTTTTTACTATCTGTTTGGAAAGCCGATAACGTTGAAGGGAAGGGAAGATTTGCTTAACAACAGAGAAGAAGCAAATAAATTGTATCTGCAGGTAAAATCAGGAGTTGAACAATGTATAGATTACTTGCTGAAGAAGCGAGAGGAGGATCCGTATCGGAGTATAATCGATCGGACAATCTACGGAGCACTCTACTCTTCTGCGGATCAAGCTCCAACTTTCAAGCCTTGAAGAAAAGGAAAATTACTCAAGCATATGCATCTTTGATTCTATTGTGAGCTTATTTTTGTAACAAAATGCATAGTTTATGCACTGTCGCCATTGCCAATCTTGTGCAACACTATCTCACAGAGCTGCAAACACAATGAAAAAAAAAGGATGTTCTTTCAATGAGAAATGAAGTTTACAATAAAAATCATATTCAATTTTTAAAAATATTATTATTAATAGGAATAATCATGATTTTAAATATAAAATTTAAAATAACTATATACCATATTTAAAAAGAAGTTTGTTTTAATTGCGTTAAATTTATCATTCTTCGGCAAGAGCCAAGTTATCTTAGTGATAAAAATATGTTTATTATCTCTTGAGGTCTCAGGTTCGAGCATCATAGATTGCATGGATGTTGAGCTTTCATTGTCAATTGTTGAGGATTTCGATAAATTAATAATTGATGAATTAATAATCTCTCTGGAATAATTTTTTTTCTTTGTCTCGACTTAGACCCAAGGTCTAATAATAAATTATTGAGATAATAATTTTTCAGAATACCTTTATATAAATTTTGATCTCTTCAATATTATAAATAAAATTACAAATATAACTCTATTTTTGTTTTTTTTTCTTAAAATTTAAATCGAGATGTATTTTATCTACTTTTCCTTACTGCATCCAAAAGTTTCGGTGTTTCGTTCTCATTTAGTAACAAAAAATTGTGAAGAGTAGTTACCGCTATGAGTGTTTCATTTCGCGTAATTAGTTGCAAATGCATTGTATCGTCTTTAGTTTCATCCTCAATAGGATTTTCAATAACACACAACATCTTCTAACCTTTGGACCTCAGAACATGTATCATTTTCTTCTGAACAATCCAATATGTGATTAAAATCTATTTTTTTATGACACCCAAGGCTATTAATCATCGTATCAAGTTCATGAATGCCTTCTTAAGTGCCATTTTTAAAGCAACGTGGCTTTGTGTACTTTCCAATAACTCATAAAGAGAATTTTTCAAAGTCATCCTCGTTGCAACAAAAAACAATTGTAAGCCTTTCTTTGCTTTATTTTCTTTCTTCAAGTTGTTCCATTGCAAGAGAATGACCAGCTTCAAATCTATAAAACAAACCAATTTCATCTATGCTAAAATCATCCTCCATAGGATATTGATTTTGTTTTTTTCTTTATAGCCACCAATTTATTCTCTGTCTTTCATGTCAACAAAATCACTCTCTAAAACGACGAAATGACTTGATATCATGTCTTAGCTTGAACTTTTTAAGTCAAACTTGAGAAAATTTATGCGACACAGGAGGTTTTGAGGATGTAGAAATTTAATTGTCTCTCTTACCTTCTCCAATATTATCTTTCTAGGCATGTTTACATGTTTTTGGTATTGGAGAAAGTACTCATAAAGAACCTTATTCATCTCTAGATATTTTCCAGGTTTGTATCGCTCGTAATTCCCTCCTTTTTTTTAAAGTTAACTGAAAGGTACTTAGATGGTCGCTTGAGTGTGTTCGATATTGTACAAAATTTTCATCAATTCACAGTTGCAAATCTTTTTGAGTGCATGTGGGGTAAACTCTCTTATACTCACATAGTGCTTTACGTATTTCATCTGTCATGATTGATTTTTAGATATTTTTTAGATGTAAAACCATGGTTGATTGATTTTCATTTGGATTGGCTAGTTAGGAAAATTTGATGTTGTTTATATAGTGGTTGCTTTCCTTATCGTGCATGATTTGCATTAAGTTTTTACTAGTACTATGTACTATGTACTACAATGAATTTTTATTTTCTACGGTATTTAATTAATCATATTGTACATGAACATTAAATATGTCCATTGTTGGTTTTTTTGTCAATATTTTTTAACTTTGACTCGTCATTATTTAAAAGTTATTATTGATAAAAATATGAAAGAATATATTTTAAAAACCTTAAATCAAATAGTTTTAAAATATATATTTTATAAAATGTAATTATTTTAAATATTTTAAATAATAAATACAATAAAATTTCTTTTAAAAGTTAATAATGGACATAATTTGGTGGGACAGATGGAGTATATTTTTTATGTAGGTTCGTCGAATCAGAAAAACTCTTTAAATTAATAAATTATTAATTTATCGATTAATTAATACATCTTTAAATTAATAAAATTATGTGACCATGATATTATTAATTTATAGAGATTTTATTATAAATTTAATAGTTCATTTAATATTGAGATGAAACGATACTTTTTTAAGTAAAATTAAGAGTTTGAATCCCAGCAGAGTGAATATAATAAATTGGATTGAGAAGAACACTTGGAATCGTTGTAACATTTTGTCCAAATTAATCTTAATATATGAAATATAAAAAATTAAAATCGATAGTTTTCGTATATTAGAAAGCTATATTTTATATTTTAGTGACATTTATCGTAAAGTGTCTAACATAAATAAACGATTTTAAAATTGATTTCTTACAACATGATGGCTTGTGTTTTTTTTTGTATTTCTTTTTAAAATTGATTTCTTACAACATGATGGCTTGTGTTTTTTTTTTGTATTTCTTTTTAAAATTGATTTTAAAAGGTGCCGTAAAATATTCTGAATTTTTTGTCAGTTTTTATAGATCAAAGTACTTATTATTTTTTATTTTTATCAAAAAGTACTTATTATTTTTTCTAGCATTTTCTGAAAAAAAAAATATTTTGTTAGTTTTTATAGATCAAAGTTAAGCTGATTAATTCGACTTGCTATACCTTCAAATCAATTTTTCTCTTTTTGATAATAAATATATTTTTTTTTTTTGAGAGAGGGCCTCATTAAAATTCCTTCTAGTCCTAATAACGGAAAAGATGCCCAAATTCTATTACTGGGAAACCTTGTCAATGAATACATCAGATGTAATAATCTCGGGACAAACCGAGTCGAAGAACAAAGAACTACCTGACCGTAGTGTCCAGGTAGCTAAAGTATGTGCTACATTGTTGCACTCGCGTCGTACGAACTGAATTACAAACGATGCGTTACATTCAAACAAATTTCGAGCTTCCTGTAACTGAAATCCTGTAGTGGAAACATCAAGTGGTCTATCCCGGATCTTGTTCACCACCATAGCAGAATCAGACTCATATACCACATTCGTCCATTGGTTTTCGATAGCAAAACGAAAACCAACCACAATTGCATGTACTTCGACAATTCCAACTTCCTCACAAGATGGCGCTGAGACCGCCATACCCCCAGGGAGCAGCATCACAAGCTATTATACCCACTGTCGCCATTCGTCACTGCAGATCGAAAGCCCCATCCACATTAACTTTAACAACTCCATGGTCGGGCGGACGCCACTTCTGTTGGGTAACACTAGTCGGCGCATGTTGCGGCAGAATTCCGGCAGTTGTGTGTGTTGCTCCACGAACAGTGGAATTCCTGATCGATTTAAACACATTCTGGAGCACCTGCGCCTTTAAAACTATGAGCCACAAAGGTTGAAGTTTATCCTCATGGGCTAGTGTATTCATTCCATTCCATATATTTCAAAGTAGAACCACAAAGTCAGTGAAACGTTCAACGGCGAACAACTGCGATAACGCTTATGAGTAAAAAAATATATAAAGAAAGGAAAAGGAAAATGAGAGAAAAGGGAGGGGAGGTGGAACGACTTATGAGTGAAACGAGAGATTAGGGTTCCCAAAAACTTATAATATGATATATATATATATATATATATTAATTTCAAAATGATGCCGTTTAGAGGTTAGGGTTTCTATGTTTTCACGCGTGGGGTAAACTGCGAGAGGGGGGTCTCATGTTTCGGAAGTTTGCATTTTAGTCCCGGATTAAAATTTTCCTAAGTTTATGATTTTGGCCTCTTTTATTTACGCGTGTTCATTTTGGCCAATTTAAGCTATGTATTTTATTTCGATTTATAGCATGTAGTATTGGATATTTATATTTCGGTCCTAAATATACGGGTTTATTACATTTTCATTGTTTGTAATATGATATTTTTACATTATGTGTTGTGTTATTTATTTAATTTGTTTTTGAGACATTACCTTTCCAGTTTTATTATTTAGTCCCATTTTGCTTATTATCTTATTTTTAGGAATATTTTAATTTGAATGTCTTATTTTAAATATGTCCATTTTGGTCTTGAATGATAGAAGTTGGTTTATTTACGAATATAGTACCTAGTTTGTAAAATATTTACAATGGTTGCCTTGATTTCTTGTTGGTTTTATGATTTAATCCCTAAAGTCACCATCTTTATTATTTTGATTCATCATTTACATTTTTGTTAATTTCTTGCTAATTGTAATATTTTCAAATATTATTTTGCACGAGGAACTTCTAGAAATGCGCCTTAACTGACAAGGAGTGTGTTTCCAAGAATTGCTCGAACAAAATAACACCTTTTTATATTCAAATGAATTTGTTTTTTAATATACTTAATATATGTATTTTATCTAAAAATTAGGGTAATATTATTTTGTATGAGGAATCCATGGAAATGCCCCCTTAACTGACTAGGAAAGTATTTTCGAGGATTGTTCATACAAAATAATATCCCATATATATTTTTCTCTAAAAAGAATCATAATTTAAATGTATATTTGAATTTGCCAATTTCAATATTTAGACGATGTATAATCGCTTAGGTACCGATTTCGGGCGTTGTGGGGGTGCTAATCCTTCCCCACACGTAATCGACTCTCAAACCCTTTTTCAAAACGAATTTTTAGTTAAGCGCATATCATTTTTTATTTTTTAAAATTATTTTTCTTAAAATTATTTTAAAAGGTATTTTTAGGTATTCGACCTACCTAACCCAAAGGTCGATAGAGACTCCAAATCTATTTATTTGTTTTTTTATGTTAAAACCCAACCTTTTCCCAGATTAAGTTGGATCGCTCCCCGCCATAGCCCCAAAAAGCTTAAGGACCATTTCGACAAGACTAGAAATGCATGGTCATGCTCGAATAAGTTGATATGAGATATCACAAATTATTTGTTAATTATAGTCTACTCTAGATATCAAGAAATAATAGATGGGTCATACAAGTGTAATTATTTCAAGAGTTGTGCCTATTCTAGATATAAATGACAAAAGGATGTAATACATAAAAGAGTCAGTCACAAAGATGATA